CTTGTCCTTGCAAAGGTTGGCCAGCCCAGGAATGGCACGTCCAGCTGCCTCCTTGTAAATGGCCAAACACAATTTGGGCTACATAGAAATAGCTGCAGAGAATTACACGTTGTTGATTCCCAAGTCTTGAACCATGATGGTTTATTGATCACATCCTCATATTTGTGCTATATACATATTGTATATATTTAGCACTATCGATCAATATCACAAATTCTCATAGACATCCTGATATCCTGCAATTTGTTGTGTTTTCCCTTGGTAAATGTCCCACTGTGCGGGGGAATGGGTAGCTCGTGCTGGTGGCAGGCCTCCACCGCAGGCGCGTGGCACTGGGGGCGAGTGTTCCATCGTAGCAACAGATTAATGCACTTCACAACTGGCATGTTTGGGGACAGAAACGCAGCTACTATCCATATATGCTGAATCTATGCATTGTCCCAATAATCGTTCTTTGGACGTGAGTGGGCCAAAACTGTGGATTTTCTTAAGCCATTGGGCGACCAGAGCTTTTGACTACTCCCCGTGCTGGGACATCCAATGTCCCTGGTTGGTTGTCAGTTAATGTCAGTTAAATAGATTCCCATGGTCCTATCGCATTTTATTGATCCATGGCACTTGATAGTCATTTGATAGTTGGTTGTCAAGAGTCAGATTTTTTTCGTGGAAGAGGGGGTGCAACCCTTTGTTTTTTTTTAGAAACCGAAGCCGCTTGGTTTTTAGATCCCGGTGATTGTTTAAAGGTTACCTTCACTGAGTCCCTCGCCAGGGCGCTCTGGGAGGCGCGAGCACGAGAGCCAAAGGTACCCAGTGAATTAACAGAACATAAAACGACCTGGAAAAATATGGAAAACTCATATGGAAGAAGAGTAAATGCATTTTTTCCAAACCTCATATCATATCTATACTGATTTGCTCAAGGGTAGTTGAAGTGAACAGAACTTAAACATGCCAAAGTAAAGTCTCCGAGGCCAGGAAATTCTGACGTGTTCTGAGGGGAGGAATCCCAGATATCCAGGAGTTGCAATAGGATGCAAAACTCGCCTGGTGACCTGGTGGCCAATTGATCATCATGTTCTCTATGAAAATAGCGGGCCATTTGGAGGTACCTTCTGGTAAACATACAAAAAGCTATTGAAAATGGCCATAGAAATAGTGGATTTACCCATTAAACATTGCCATTTTCCATAGTTATGTTAGTTTACCGGAGGGTATTCTATAACCCAGTTTCAGACACTGTTCCTATATCCGTTGTGGTACAATCTCCACGTTGCCCACAATTGGATGATGGGAAGTCTTACAATAAACACAGGAAATCCTTTGACTTGAAGTAAACATCATGGTTTCCCCTAAATGTTCACTTAAATCAATCTATTGGCTATCATTCTTGGTGATTAAAATGCTATCAAATCCCATTAAATCATATTAAATCCACATGTTTCATGGGTGAAATGTCTCCTTTTTTCTCCAACATTCGCAGCTCTTCCCACCAGAACTGAACGAAGGTGGACTCCGACCTTTGGGCAAGGCAGGTCCTGCTTCTCTCCTGCTCAGGCCTGGCAGTGTGTGTCTAGTGTGTGTCAATATCATTGGCAGGAAGGGATTGCCTGATAGAGCTGGCTCATTCTCCAGGGGTTGGTAACTGTCCCATTTTGGGTATATTGGACATCACCTTATAGTAGCCATTATAGACCATATACCTAATGGTTCTCCAATCAGGTTTCATCATGTCTCATGACAACAATTCAGAGAATTCCGATCCACCGAGACCGCCGCCAAGCGGAACAGTCGCGAGCTCAGTGCACAGCAAGAGAGTTGTTTGTTGTCAAGATGTTTTTGCATAGTAAGGTATGAGGTATCATGACAAGAAGAACCCACGGCATAGTGGCACATCAATCTTTCAACTGTTTGTTGAAACAGTCATAATACTCGTATTTTACGGATTTTACGGATAGTCACATGGGCAGCGGATGCAATGCCTGTTGGTTTATAGCTATAATTGGATTGTATTTTCTAGCCTGATAGGAAGCATTCCAAGCACAAAAACTTTTATTGACCAACCTATAGAAATCAATTTGCACGCGATGTTTAGGTCCCTTTAAAATATTGCTATCGTTTATGGTCATAATGATATCCCCGTTCCTCTTGCTTACATAGCAGTAGTTCTTTGTTCATAACCACCGCTTTCTGTTGGTTAAATCCCCATGTGTCTCTTGCTCACATCCTCACATCATCATGGATGATCAATCTAACTTTCAGTGATCCAACATTGGTTACAAATGGCTATAACATGCTATAACTATGTCTTTAAACCACCAGCTATTTTTCATATGGCTTCTCTCCCCTTTTTTTTGCCTCAACGGTCCCAGAAACGATCCTGCGTTCTGCAGGACGCAGGAGCACCGGGAGCACCTTTGACAGGCGCGCCGGTTTTTTGGGATGATCCCAGCTGACCAAATTCTGAGATCGGATGGTGTTGTTATGTATTGTTGTTTGTGCGTCAAAATCATATATATAAATCATTGACACCCGAACATGGACAGAGTCATACTAAAACATTGGCAATCTTCTAAGTCGATTCGTAGCCTATACCTACAGGACCTCTCTAGGTGAGAGCTGTAGCTCAACATTAGTGAGCCTCAAAACTGGATAAGAGTCAATAAACCTCTCTGTCTGTGTGTGTGCGTGCGTCATTTCCCCATTGAAATTCCGAACAACTATCTACTACCCCCATTTGCCAGTGAAAAGCTTGGCATAGAATGCAAATTGAAACCCAACAGCTTTCCGCTGTTGGGAACACGAGTATACAATCAACAATCATACTCGTAGAGGCTCAAAATTTAGTCCGATGAACATCAAATCGCAGAATCAAGTCTAAGGAAAGCATATGGGAACAGTCAAACCATGTGAAACCTCGCGTTTGAAACCTTGAAGCCACATGAGCAGTGTTCAAAACCCCCGCTGGTTGACTATTTCAGGGGCTCATACTATCTCAAACTAACCAACATACTTAGGATCTTAGGATATCATTAAATAAATCCAGTACCGGAATCCTTAGCAAGAAACCTGTATATCAGGGTCGTTCCAGCCCTTTATAGGGCAATGATAGCCACAAGCAGGGGACCATTCGCCGTGTTACCATATCTTACCTATATTTGCCCAATTTCCCCCCCTGTGCCTGGGGTATCCTGGGCTGTTGTGAGCAAGCAGGTGCCACTGGTGCCGCTGCATTGTTGCTGAGGTGCCGCTGCACTGTGACAACCATCCCCCCCAGTCATGGGAAGTTTATGGCAATATATACTGTAGATAGGTATGATTATACATTATATATACGCACAGTACATCGCAGTACATAGTACTACGTATACACTATATTTCATATGGTTTGATCCAATTACATCGGACATGTATCTACATGTCCACATGTCTATATCTGTAGATATACATACACATTAGGCATGGCTTTCCATTCCTGGGATGCCCAAGTGACTGTTGTTTCGGCCGTGTCACTGGGTTGCTTCAGGGAAGTCTTGACGGAGACCCCTACAAGTACTCGTAAAAAAAACATGTTTCCAGGAGTTGTTCCCTTCAACCAATCCATTGACTATAAGTTTTGATGATTATTGATGATTAAATCCCCATTGAAGCCTATTAAATCCCTATTGTTGACGGGTAATTCCTCCATGTTTTCCTTTCAAAAAATCGAATGGCCCCGGACCTTTCATCTTCGCGCCGGCAGACCGCCACCAAGTCCCACAGCCTTCATCTCAGACTCACGGTCTCAGTGAGGAAATGTACAATATTTTTGGAACCTTCTGTATCCTTTTGGAAACACGCGTTGACTTCAATAACTTCAATAGGCTATTTTAACCTGGTCAAGCTTTGATGAAGTCATCTTAAGTTCCCCATTTTGTAACAGTTTCAGAAACTGGAAAGATGAGGCTCAAGAAACAAACACGAGGATTCACACCAGATGATGCTGGGGTATGAGTGTGAGTCAAAACATTCTGGGCCACCACAGATTGGCGAGTCATTCTGAGTACACCATCCAAAAATGCGTGTGGGTCAAAATGAACCAAACTTGGGCCCCCCAACATTGTCATCGTCAGAATATGATGTCTTATGTTTACAGATACTATGTGATGTCATATGGAAAATCCATGAAAAGCCCTGGTTTCCCTAATCGATCAATCGTTGATGTTCCATAAATATCTATGTTCCTCAAAGTGGAGAGTAAACTGTGTTTCCACAATCATACACATCTGAATATTTCAACACCCTCCTCGTTTCCTGTGCTCAGCCCGAGGATCTCAGCCCAAGCTCAGCGCCAGGAATGGATTTCCTGCGGGGGCGTTTGTGGCGATGGACACCGAGTATATTATATAATTACCATATCCATATATATATATATATTATAAGGACAAAGCTGGGATATGTGTCTGAAAATGGTGGATACACTCAAAAGGTGTCAATTAGTGAGAAAATATGTCAAGATTATCGATGCACGAAAGCTCAGAGCCACCTGGAGACTTGATGATTTTGATGTCCAGGAGCTCGTTCGGAGGGGATAAGTAGTGGTTTTATGACTGCTTTGTTGAGCACTTGGCGTGCTGCTTTTTCGAACTACTGTAAGACTTGCTTTCGTTCAGCAACAAGAAGGAAGCAGCGGGGACAGACATCTGGACATAATATGTCCTCGTCAGTGGAAGAGGCGTTCGAGGTTTTGGTCATGTTTCCTTGCTGGGCAGCCGGTCTTGTGTCCAAACTTGTTCATTCCTCGTACGCTGCTCGATATTGCACGCATTTGCTTCTATGGCTCTCAGTTTGAACAGCAACGTACATCAGATCTCAAAGCTCTGTTTACTTTCTTGATGCTTTGAGATCTTGTAGGCAGGAACAGCACATTGCCTGGAGAAGAGGAAACACGGAAAAAGCATGAAAAACAAAACGCAAAGTGATTTCGGGATCTTGAGTCCAAAGCACGTCAGAGCCTCACAGCCATGAAGTGTTTCGGTCTTCTTCTTGTGTTGCTGTTGCCCGCATTTGGCTGGTGGTGTGAAACAAGCGATCGTCACGGCTGCCGGGGGCAGTCGAGACATTTTGTCCGAGAGGCAGCAGTGGCAAATCCATTTTTGGTGTTCCAGGACATCAAAACAAGCGTTTATGAGGAGCCCATTGTCGTGGATTGGGATGATGATGGCGATTTAGATGTGATCTTGAGGAAACAGAAGGGACTTTCACTTTTTGAGTTCAAGTCAGGGAGGCGCTTTGTGGAAATTGAGCCCAATCCGTTCCATGGCATTTCTGCTGGAGTCTGCCGACCTGCCGTTGTAGACTGGGATGGGGACGGAGTTTTGGACTTGATCGTCGGAGCTGAGGACCAAGTAGCTAAAGAGCTTTCAAGATGAAGTGATTGAGTGTTTTCACCAAAAGGGAAGTTTAGTTCGCACATTTCCCGACCTCCCCGATGAGGGGTGCCAGACTTCTTTTGGGGGGGTGAGGTAGCAATCCCCGGTGTTCAGGGGGCCCATAGATCCCAACTAAAGAGTTGTAACACTTGTGGTCAACCAGGCGGAGCGCAGCACAAAAAGATCCATCGTTTGGTGTCGCACAAACAACTCCAATGAATCTTCCGAAATCATAGGCCAAATTCATTCAATTTTGGTGCCTTCATAGATTAGTCCTTCAACTTTTCATTTTCATTCATGTGCACATTCATTTACTCAATGTTTTTTTTTTTTTTTCCGGACATGACTGTATATGTCAAAGCATCTACAACTCACCACGATTCCCAAAGGCTATGGGCAATGTTTTCCTGTAGTTTCTCGAAAAACTTCCGTATCGGTGCGGCCGGGCACTATCTGTTATAGTTATCTATAGTTTAATATGTTATATACGTATATAAAAGTTATATAATGTTATATATATATAATATATATTATATATATATATTTATTTAAGTAGATGTATATATATATATATTTTTTATTATGTACATATATATATATATATTATTATAATAATGATATGATTTTTCTACACACACACAAAAAAAAAACAAAAAAAACACATTATATTTATAGGTCGATGTTAAATGTTTGGAAGGCTCAGACGTGTTCAGGCCAGCTTTGGTTTGCAAGATAGTGCGCCCGAACTGGTTGGCATTTGACATTGTTTTGTTTTTGTTGCAACAGGAGATGTGACCTGTGAAAAGCAGGAATGACCCTCTTGTACTGATCGCGCTTTTGCTCCGATTGTGTTTTTCCTGGCCAGGACGGAATCAGATACTATCAGAAGGGGCTAGGCTACAAACTTCATCAGAGAATAGGAGCGGAGAACCCCTTTGAACACATACGGACGCAGAAGGGATATTGTTCCGACGTCTCCGTCGCAGACTGGGATGGTGATGGCGACTTGGACTTTCTTCTATCTGATCCCTTGAGGCCAATGCAATACTTTGAGCAATCCCAAGGCCAGCTTGTGCTTCGAGAGGGTCCGAACAGATCAGAATACAGTAGCCCGTTCTTTGAAATTGCGAATCAAACAGTCACACATAGACCTATCATGGCAGACTGGAATGGAGATGGAAACATGGACTTACTGTTGTTGGCAAAGTTCCTTGGCAGGGCCACGTTGAATATTTCTCAGCAGTCTCACTGCACTTCCTATTTGTATGAACAACACAAGACTGGCGGAAAGACAATGTTGGTGTTCAAAGACGAACCGTTTTTCCAGAACAAGGGGTGCAGTTCATTTGATGGCTCTGGTGCATCACTTGTGGATGTGGACGGGGATGGTCATTTGGATGCAATCTTTGGATCGTTCCTGGGGCCATTGCATGTCTATAAGCGCACTTCTGCAGGCCTCGTCAAGCCAAACGAATTCCCGTCGAATTCGATCCCACTCGACATGATTCAACTGGAGTCAGAGAGTAAGCGTAATCAAATTCATTTCCTGCACCCAGTCCTTGCAGACTGGGATTTGGATGGTGACCTTGATCTTGCTTTGCTTCATCTACAAGGAGAAAATCATCCTGAAAAGAACCGTTACTTTGTTCACCTCCCAGACAACACTGTCACAGAGCTGAACGGGCCGCCAAACAACTCGTGCCCGATCAATTGGGGCCAAGATTTCAGCATGGCTGATTTTGACGGAGACGGAAAGAAGGACCTCGTGGGTTTCGACGGAGTAGAAACTGTTGTTTGTCTTCAGACTTCTTCTGGTTTTGTAGTGCTAGAGCCTGAGAAGATCCCTTTCAACTACCCATCCCACTGCCCGCAATGCTTGACAGATTTCTCCCAGTTCCCTTGGAGTGGCGTTGATAATTTTCCAGCCTTTCTAGACTGGGATGGTGATGGGGACGTGGACGTGCTCAGAAAGAATCTGGCAGACAAGGCATTCGGGTCTTGTTTCCACTCGAAACAGAAATGCAAACACAAGGCTATCCATTTGTTGAAGGCATTTGCTGAAAGTACTACATTGTTTTCGGTGGTATGCGCCAACTAGAATTGTGTGCGAAGTCCAACAGTTGTTTTGCGATTTTGAATTTGGATCTGGTCAAGGCATGCTATAGCAAGCGCAATCTTAAGGTGTAAAAAAAACACCCCCAGGTACGCCCAGCAATTGTGTTTCAAAGTGTTGTTTGGGCGCCCTTGCAGGTCTATTTGTATGAGCAGCTGTCCAATGGCACAGTTTTCGCTCATCCTCTCCCCCTTCCCTCAGCGCACGACTTTTCAGCTGCAGATTTTGATGGAGACGGTGATGTTGACATCATGATTATCCCACCCAACTCAGACAGCTGTTTGTATTTTGAGCGACGTGGTGACGGGAGCCTTGAGCAGTTGTTTGGCTCTGACAACCCTTTCAACGGTATGTGCCAGGGAACGTCTGATTTCCCCATGCAAGGCAATGGCCTTCATGCTTCGTTGGGGGACTGGGATGGAGATGGTGAGAAAGATCTGGTTGTGATGGATGCTTTCAAAGTGACGTTGTGGACCAGTCGACCGATGGAAAGTTTTGTCGAAGTGATTGAAAAGGAAAGTCCATTCGGAAAGTTTCGGTTCTCCAAAGCATCACGGGTGAGTCTCGTCGATGTGAATGATGATGGGAGGTTGGACGTAGTCGTGCCGCCGCAGTCCTACCTCTTGGGAATTATGAGAGGGTATGCAACATACGGTTATTTCAAGTCTGGAGCCAGTGGATTGCTGGTAGAACAGCTGGGTGAAGCGAATCCATTTGACAAGGTTGCCTACAACACAACAAATAGCAATAGAAATAGACAATCGTCCTTAGCTGGACAGCAACTAATTGTGGATCTCGATGGTGATGGAGATTTGGACATAGTCCATGGAGATCTGCAGTACACACGAAATGATGGCGGTCATTTCACACACTTGAATCCCTCTGACCCTGGTCACCCGTTTAGGGGGATCCAAGACGGAGAAACAACATGCTCGACTTTTGTGGATTGGGATAGAGATGGAGACCTTGATTTGGTGCAAGCCTATCTGCCTGGAGGGAATACTTTTTATGAAGCCAGGCTGCACCAAGCCTGGGTAGGAACAGTCATTGTTGAAATGTTGCGCAATGGGACCAGCCGGGCCGAGCGTGTGGCATGGTATAAGAAGAACACGCATCGCCGGATGCGCTTGTATCTCAATGCTGGCATGAGTTTCCAAGAAGTCACAGGATCGGCAAGTCCTTTCCACGATATCTACTTGCAGTTGAGAAACGATTCGGTATGCCCTACCTTCGTGGACCTTGATAAAGATGATGTCTTGGAATTAGTCTTCGGAAGCTTCAATGGTAACGTGTCGCTATTCAGCCATTCTTTGTTTTTCTATTGGGTTTTGCCGCTGCTCTCTCCAGTGTCTTGCGGATTCTTATGTTCAATGTTTTTGTGCAAACAGACAGACCGCGCGAGGAAAACTGCAGTATTTTAGGCAGCAGAATGGTACCTTTCAGCACGTTGAGGAGACGCCTTTTGCTGACTTGTCCATTAAAATTTCCCCTTCGGGTGTCCTCATGCCTCGCTTCGTAGATTGGGATGGCGATGATGACATGGACTTGGTGATCACAGGATTAGACAAGGTGCGATTCTTTCAGCGCGGCGTTTGCAAGCCCTCTGCCTCATACTGCAAATCTGGAGTCTGTAATCAGCGGACCTCGACGTGCACATGTGATGCTGGCGCAGAAGGACAAGACTGCAGCCTTTGCGGCAACTTCTATGTCCGTGAGAAGGGCAAATGTAGGCCATGTCCTGGCCATAATGAACTGGCAAGTACTTGCAGCCGGAGAGGCGAGGGAGGGTTGAGGAAGCGACCAGAAGAGTCCAAAAGCATTTTTTTGGCTACCATGATTATTGCATACCATCGGGTCATACTTAAAGTCAACTACCATGAATGTACTTTCTTTTTTATGTACCTCTTGGTGTTTGCTTGTTTGGCCAGGTGTTTGTGAAGATGATGCAGATGCAAGAAACAAAAGGCTTGCGAAGAATCTGACCGGCTTCGAAGTGACTTCTGCTAGAGGAACTGGCCAATGCACATGTTCGCAGCCTTTTTTTGGGCATGGCTGCCAAGAGGGGCAGTGCCCAGCTGGAGAGCACTTGGACAGACATGCAAAAGTGGATAGGGCTACCGAAAAGTATTCTCAGTGGGAAGTTTGTGCGCCTTGCGAATCTGGCAAATTCAAGAATTTCTCAGGCAACGAGGAATGTTCTTTTTGCCCAGATGGGCATGTGCCACTGAACCGCACCAGCTGTGTTCCTTGCGCTTCTGGCACTGTCTCATCTCGAGACAACCCTGAGACATGTACACCTTGTCCTGAAGGCTCCGTCCCAAACAGACAGACGAATACTTGTGAGGAGTGCACGGGTCCAACCTACGCATTTGAAGGAGATGAGTCTTGCAGGAAGTGTTTCTTTCCAGCTTTGATCTTGACGGGCGACGAGAATTTGTGTACCCCAGTCTATACGGTGCTCTTTCTGTTTGCATCTATCCTCTTGGCAGTGTTTGTACTGGCGATCTTCGGAAGGTTGCGCGTTGAATGTCTCAAAAGGCGACTCAAGAAACTTGTTGCCGCAAGGAATTGGAAGGATTTGCATACCACACAGGCCAGACCACTGGAATATGGCCTTTGGCAGCATAGAGCCTGCAAGCTGCTTGCGCTTCGCAAGGCTGAGGTGAAGTCGCGATCTTTGCAGCTGGGTGTCTCTCTCGACTACGTCTTCAGCAAGCTGGAGGATACCTACAAGGAGAAGGCACAGCAGGCCGAGTGGCGAGTGGATGTTTGGGGCCCAACGACACAGAGCGGTTTCTTGGTGAGGGTCCGCAACTGTGGAGATGCAGTTGATCCCGAGTCTGCCTGGCCTACGCTGTCTATTTGTGATCGCCCAGAAGACCCAAACTTTCATCAGGTAGCGGCGCTGTTGGCTTATGGACCATGGGCTTTGGGCAAGGGTCTGTGCTGCCCACGTGATGGGTTGGCAGATTGCAGCCTTGTCGACGCACTGGAAACGGAATGCAACAGCGCAAAGGCGACTTGGTTCCTCTCCTGGGTCTGGAACTACAAATTCACTACTGTGCTGAAGGCCTGGTTCTTTCTGGGTGAATCTCACACTGTTCGTGCTTTTACCCCAAAAGCTTAAGGCTTTGGGTTCTTGGCAAGTTCCCGATGGGTTTCTGCAAGGTTCTGTTCCATTGAGACAAATTCGAAGAGGAGTCTTATTCCCCGTCTTTTCTTCCAGACTGATCCAGCTACAACAGTACTTGCAGTACTAATAGGGAAATACTTGTACTTGCAATCCTCCTGGGAATTTAGCCTAAAGACTTGAGGACGTGAGGTCTTTAAAAAACTGTATTTTTTAAAGGACAGTTTGGCCGGCAAAAAATCCAGTTTCATTTTTTAAGATGTATACTGTTGTTTTGACGGTCTCCTATTCTCTAAGAGGCCTTCCCAGGAAGATTCTAGGAACTTGTTTTTTGATATGTTCATCAATGTTTTTTGGGATTGTGTGTCAAATGAAAACCAACTTGCCTGCCGCTTGAACAGATGCTCACAAGCAGAAGACGTGAAGGTGAGATGGAAGATGAAAACGTGATGAGTGAATGCATGTAAATGATCCCCCTTGGAATTTCCACTAAAAAAATGCAACAACCCGGGTTGTCGCAAAAAACGTTTTTTTTTTAATGCAAAAACAGATTATTTTTCCACATGGCTAACCCGGAGCCCCCATTTTTTGCAAAGGCTTCCTAGGTCATGATTTTTAAGAGAGCGCATTTTGAGGGGCAATAGACAAGCTCTTTGAATTTTTGCGATTTGCTAAAGCTGCTGTTGTGCGCCGGCCATCGTTTGTATCGCAGATGAGCCAAACAAGTTTCAACATTGACAACACATTTCAACTGATTTTTCAACAAGGACATTCTTCAGGGACGCTAGACTATTGCACATTTATGAGCGTTTGAAAACAGAGCGTTTGAAAATCATATGGTGTTATCCCTCTTGGATTTTCCCTGGCTAAAACATAAGTCAACCCGGGTTATCAGTTCCCCCTGGATTTGGAACCCTAAGTTGAGTTTGTCAATGTTTAAAGTGCTGGCCAAGACATGGCTCAATAAATGCAACCAAACTGACACTAGATATGATAAAAGCAGCAAATTGCATATATTGATTTATACAAATGTTTATCGTTTTGCAGGGTATACCTCTAAAGAATCAGACTCCAGCTCGAACCCAGTCCAGTTCTCATATCCAGACGTCCCCGGAAATCCCCAAGATCCACAGGCATAACACCAATTGTCTCTAGAAGATCCATCGAAACCCACTGTGTCCGGAGGTAGGACCTTATTTTTTAATGGCACCCTCCCAAAAAATACCCCAAACTGTGAAAAACTGCCAGGTTTTGCAGGGTCGACACGCCCTGAGCCTCTAAAGAATCAAAACACCAGCTCAGAAAAAAAGAGTGTTTTGGCAGGACCTGATTCTTTAAGGACACCCTTCCCTGTGTCGGGAGGCAGGACCTGATTCTTTAGTGGCACCCTCCCCAAAATATCCCAAGTTGTAGGGTCGACAGGCCTGAGCCTCTAAAGAATCAAAACACCAGCTCGAACCCAGTCCAGGTCTCATATCCAGACGTCCCCAGGAAATCCCCAAGATCCCCAGGCATAACACCAGTTGTCTCTAGAAGATCCATCAAAACTCATCGTGTCCCGAGGCAGGACTTCATTCTTTAATGGCACCCTCCACCAAAGAACCGGACACCCGGGTCAAAGACTGAATAGAAAGGGGGATATGTTGTTTACAATCAATTTTGATCAAACCAGAAAAATGAAACAAGAGGAGGCAGCCAAAGACAACGCTTTGGCAGAAGCTTCTGCCATGACAAAAACAGAAGCCGCTAATCTGGCATGGGCAAAAGAAGGGCAAATTTCATCTCCGGTGTGCAAAGGAATCATTTGGGTACGTTTGGTGTTTTTTATGTTTGTTGATGTCCACATGGCTAACATGGACGCCCTATTTTTTAGATGCTTACTTTTTGTATTTGTTTTTTTGGTGTATTTTTTGTATTTGTTGTAGTTGGTTGCCTGGGCCATGATTTTTTTGATGTTAGACCCCCTTGCATCCTAGGTAGGCATTGTTTAGATGTGCCATTTCAGTAGTGCAAGGTGGACCTCCGTTTTTTGTCTAAAGAATGCTGGAGTCCATGTGAGCAGGATAATTCCAAGGAGAATTGTAAATACAAGAATTTGTGTTAAAACACCTTCCAGAGTTGAAGAATGTTAAAGATGTGCTTTCAAAATTCACCTATAAAGATGCCTAATAAATTCTAATAATCCTAATATGGACACAAATAAATAAGTCTATAGTCTATATGTTCTCATATGACTGCATGCGCATCTTATTGATGATGCTTGACTGCGCCGTCGTCCATTCGACTGCGACTTGGGTATCCAATCCTTTAAAGGGGCACCCCTTCGTGTGCAACTTGGGTCTCCAATCCCTTAACCGGACATGTGTGGCTACTGTGTGCAATCTTGGTTCATTGGGGTTAGATTCTTTAAGGCTGAAATTTGCTCTGGTTCGCATTCTTTAAAAGGCTATTAGTGGTCCCTTAAAGTTTCAGGGGTCAGGGTGAGGACCCGAATTGCAAGGGGGATTACTTGCATAATTATTTATTTCAATTTTCAACATCTTTCAACGCTTCACGTTGCAGGGTCATGACTTGATCATACATTCTCATTTTGTGTTCTTGAGTACCAACCAGACTGCTGTGTGCTAGGAAGACATTCGCAACTTTGTTCCAACTTTGAACACCTTTTGCTGTTGAAATATAACTTAAGTACGCATCTGAAGCTTCTTCTGTTGGTCAAACTCGTTGGTTCTCTCGGTGCCATGGATTCTTGGTTCTTTTACCATGTTGGTTTGTTCCGATCCAGGCTCTGGCACGGTGGTGGCAAAGGCATCGCATGGTCTTAGGAGCAACAGATCATGGAAAGGGCATTTACATCTGGTGGTGTTTATTCGTTAACAATCAGTTCCGGCTTTTGGAGGATGGCCAGACACAAGACACCAACGACTTCTTCCATGTCTTTGGCCAACAAGTGGAGGGTATTGGAAAGATGCTGATGTGCTTGGACCAAATAAGAGGAAGCCAATACACATCGCGCATTTGGTGTATCTTCGAGGTGTTCGTAGCGTGTCAGAGGCCGGGCTGTTCATGGTATTTTAGCTTTCATAAATTTTCACAGTCTTTCACTTGTTTGCTTTCTTTTCCAGTCTTAGGTTTCATCGATACTTGAAATATGCCTTATCAGTTATCAGGTTTTAATCTTACACATCTTACACTCGTTTGCCCATCATTATCATCTACATGCTTTAAATTCCTCAAGCTTCCATTGCATGGAAAATTCTAGGCGTTTAAGGTAATGAGGCGTTTCATAAAAAAACGCAGCGATTTGAAGTCATAGAATGAAAACAAGGCGATCTTTGGAGAAACAGGTTGTGGGCATCATGATTGCCCCATCTGGAAACTATCAATCCATAGCGGTTCAGTCCTGGGTTGCAAGCCCTGCTGCTTAATTGGTAAACCCAAACAGACAGAATGGGCATGAGAGCGATTTGAATTCATTGTCCTTCAACCATGGTCAAAAATGCGTCCTTTGCAAAACGACTCAAATTAGCCTAAATGACCAGAAATCTGGATTTGCGCGCGTTTGACAGTTTTTGCGCGCGTTTGCGGGATTTTTGCGGGCGTTTTGCGGGTAATTTGGGTCACAGGATTTTGCTAAACACATGCTCTCAATCCCACATTGTCAAAATGTGTCAAAAATGATGGTCCATGCATGCACCATGCACACAAACATATCAAATAATACAGGTCCTCCTAGAAAGCACATAGGTGCAGCGGTAAGGAAAGGGAAAGTGAACAGAAATGGCTGAGGTGTGGGTGAAACACTGTGAATTACATATTTCATATTCAGTACCTCTTACATCCTCTTAGAACATGATTTTCAGGCATTTGAGTCATTTTTTGGGTTCAATCCAAAAAAAAAATTGATCATAAACCTTAAATCACTGGATTTTTTGCATCGGAGGAGTTCCGAGGTTTCCTTGAACTTAGTAAGTGCTTGGCAGTCGGGGTGCGTAAGTAGCGTGTGCACTGCGTGCGGATCTTTGAACGGCTGAAGAACATACAAAACCTTGAAACCAAATCGCAGCGTCGTAGCGAGTCTCACATCACGAGTGGTGCTTCGGGGTGATGGCTGATGCATGTTGGACCCTGCCAGGAGCATTCCGACCACCGTCATTCTGCCAGAGCTGGAGGTTGGTGCCATTGAAACTTTGGAGGACTGCTGATTTTTCTTGATTGCCCCAGTCCAGGAACAAAGAACTATAGTACGTATGTATACATGCAAAATCCACTTGTGCAAAATTTCTACCGGTTTCTGAAATGCAATTATTTTACGCTGTTTCAATGAAAAACTGCCGTTTCAGGGAAAAAATGCTTGTGCTACCTCCAACGAGAATGCACACATACAGAAAAACGTGTCAGCATCTTCAGGTAATACCATGTATGGCGGACTCAAGCTTTGACCGACGCACATTTCCGGGGAAAACCCAACCAGTCTTGGAGGAACCTCATTGATGAAAACTAACCACTCGCAGTGGAAAAAAATCAGATCATCCAAGAGCACCAAGCCAGTTCCAAGTGCGAAACGGTGGTTCTAGATGCGACTCTGACAATACTAAAATCACATGTTTTGTCTTTGCAATTTCCTACGGTATTTTACGCTGTTTCAACATGTTTCAACGGTTTTTTACGCTGCTTTTGTTCCGGCCATTTTTTTGAAAGAACGCATCTAGTGGCTCTTGACGATCTCCACCATTGTCGGAGAAGAAATATGTCCACCCAGAGCTTAGCTTCATCGAGGGCTGTGCTTGTGATTTGACTATACTAAAATTTTCCCGTATCATAGAATCCACAATTGCATCCTTTCAAATCATGTTGAACCCCTTTGACTGTCATAAAACCACTTTGGCCTCTTTCCTTGACGCTCTTCATACAAATTCAGCTAATCATACTGTTCCTAGGCACAAAGTTCCACCAACACCAAAAAAACACTCGAAAACAAATTTATTGTAGTTTGCTCCAAAAAGCAGAAATTCCTGAAACAGCAGACATTCTAGATAATTTTAGACACAATTAATAAATGAACATAATATAAATGATTGTATTAAATGTAGCACAAAGTTAATCTCTGCAATCGGGAAATCGATTTGGTTGCTGGGGCAGTTTTTATACTGCAAGATCCACAACACAGTGGCATAGCATCTAGAGTATACCATAGTATACCAGGCTTCTCTTGTCAACCCTTGTCCAATAACACCCTCGCAGCAATTCCAATGAAAAGACTTGACCTGGCAGAGGCCAGAGCTTCAGTCCAAGCAGATGCGGATGCCATCAAAGAACGCATCCAAAAAGAACATCAATCCTTTGAGTATGTGAACCAGACTGTGGAGCAAGCCCTGTGGTGTGAAGTCATAAAATTCTTGAAGCAGTCTCAACAAGAACCTGAAGAGATCGAACTGTCAACACAAACGCCTCAAGACTCGGACCTTTCGACCAGCTCAGCTCCCATTTCAGCCATACTTTCTGCCGACTCACAGTGCGGTCTCCAATGAATTACAGGCAGACAGCCGATGGGTGCAGTCTCAAGATCCGACAAGGCTCAAGTGCTCAAGTTTGGCAGCCAACAAATTGACTGGACCCTCAGTCAATCTTTTCTGAGCCACGGGCCTTAAACTTTTTAAGATGCTGTCAGTCCTGCACAGAGCTTGACTTTCAGTCTTTGTTGTCTAGCCTCGGCCGCACGGCTACCTTGCACGTGGGTTGAATCTGAGTCTTAAGATTTGGGTGAATTTCGTAGTCAAGGAAAATCAAGACATGGATCGAATTTGCAAGTTGAGTTTCAGAAACATTCGGAAAAAGGTTGCAGCCAAGAAACATGTTGCATTCAGAGTTCTCGATAGCAAGAAGCATTGGATTGTTTAGAGTGCAACCATGTTTGCGTAACTGGGCACAAACACGATCCGAACATGTCAGCATTCGTTTGATCCGCAGAGACAAGGTAGGTGATGCGCCGCAATCCCATTTTGAGTGGAGCTACAATCGCTCTCATTGCAGTTGGAGACAACCCGTAGCACAGCCTATGGGGTCTCAGCTTAATTCACAAGCCATGTCGGCGAATTTTGCAGCGCGGTCTAGGCCAGGAGGCCTGTCTTCCCAACCTCGAGCAAGGTTTATTTTTTTCATTTTAAATCTGATCCGTCCTTTCTCGTAGAAAAATGCAAAAAACAGCAAACATGCAGTTGAAAGATGTTGAAAGATAGAGGCGAGAAGGGTAGCTTTTCTGCTCTGCGCAGAAAGGGCCGGCGACGCTCGCTGGCAGGAAGGATCGGAAAAAGGATGAAAAAGGTAGAAAGGCAAATCACATGCGTTTACTAAGCAGCCAGTCGGCCGCACATCGACAATGTCATGGCTGCACGAGTCAATCTGTCCATATCTGTCCAAAATTAAGTAATGGAATGGTTCGTGAGACGCCAGAAGACAAGCAGAGACTGAGGTTTTGCAGCTTCCCCGACACGGTGACGTGAGCGCAGCAGAACGAACGATGTTTTGCAGCTTACCCCATAGACACGGCGATGCCAGAGGAGAAGCAGAAACTCGAGACGAGACTGAGGTTCTGCTGCTTCCCCCATAGACACGGAGACGCCAGAAGACAAGCAGAGACTGAGGTTTTGCAGCTTCCCCCATAGACACGGCGACGTGAGCGCAGCAAAACGAGCGATGTTTTGCAGCTTCCCCCATAGACACGGCGACGCCAGAGGAGAAGCAGAAACTCGAGACGAGACTGAGGTTTTGCAGCTTCCCCCAAAGACACGGAGACGCCAGAAGACAAGCAGAGACTGAGGTTTTGCAGCTTCCCCCATAGACACGGCGACGTGAGCGCAGCAAAACGAACGATGTTTTGCAGCTTCCCCCATAGACACGGAGACGCCAGAGGAGAAGCAGAAATTCGAGACGAGACTGAGGTTGTAGCTTCCCCAATAGACACGGAGACGCCAGAAGACAAGCAGAGACTGAGGTTTTGCAGCTTCCCTCATAGACATCGCGACGTGAGCGCAGCAAAACGAGGGATGTTTTGCAGCTTCCCCAAAAAACACGGCGACGTGAGCGCAGCAAAACGAACGATGTTTCGCAGCTTCCCTCACAGCATAGATGCAGAGGACAAGCAGAGACTAATGTTTTGCAGCTTCTGCATAAACACGGAGAGCGCAGCAAAACAAGCGAGGCGTGGCAGCTTCCCCCATAGACACGGCGACGCCAGAGGACAAGCAGAGACTGAGGTTTTGCAGTTTCCCCCATAGACACGGTATTAACGATGCCATGACGACGCGACGACGACGCAACGACGACGCCACGACGACGCGACGAGCAACTGGAGGCGAACAAGGGTCCAGCCCCCAGACCCCCAGACCTCCAGACTATAAACGGGAACCTTTCGCTACGCATTCGGAAAAAACAGAGAATCATTGAAAGATGGTGAAAGCGTCGGCGATAGAGGCGAGAAGCGTAGTGCGTATGGTCGAGGAAAGTCGCAAGACATGGTTCGATTTTGGAAGTTGATTTTAAAAAGCATTCAAACAAAGCCGCGGCCAAAAAAACATGTTACATGTTGCATTCTTTCTTGTTCACGAGACAAATAGGATGCTTCCACGGCACTCCGTATAAGAGACATCAACCCTTGTTTGCACCGTCCAACATGTTCGAGTTCGTTTGATCCTTGGCGGAGACGGGTAGGTGATGCGCCGCAATCCCATTTTGAGTGTAGCGTAGCGCCCATTGCTGGGGTCAGCTTAATTCAGCAGCCATGTCAGCTGAATTTGCAGCATTGTCTAGGTGAGGAGGCGTGTCATCCCAACCTCGAGCAAATTTTGACCATTTGATTTCAAACATGAATGATTTGTCCATTCTCGTTGTTTAAATGAAAAACAGAGAAAAAAGTATTGAAAGATGGTGAAAGAGTCGGTGACAGAGGCGAGAAGGGTAGTGCGTATAGCCGAGGAAAGTCACAAGACATGGTTCGATTTTGGAAGTTGATTTTAAAAAGCATTCAAACAAAGCCGCGGCCAAAGAAACATGTTACATGTTATTCTTGGTCACGAGACAAATAGGATGCTTCCACGGCACTCCGTATAAGAGACATCAACCCTTGTTTGCACCGTCCAGCATGTTCGAGTTCGTTTTATCTTTGGCGGAGACGGTAGGTGATGCGCCGCAATCCCATTTTGAGTGTAGCGTAGCGCCCATTGTTGGGGTCAGCTTAATTCAGCAGCCGTGTCGGCTGAATTTGCAGCATTGTCTATAGGTGAGGAGGCGTGTCATCCCAAATCTCGAGCAAATTTTGACCATTTGTTTTTCAAACATGATTTGTCCATTCTCGTTGTTTAAATGAAAAACAGAGAAAGAAGTATTGAAAGATGGTGAAAGTGTCGGTGGTGACAGAGGCGAGAAGGGTAGCAGTTCTGCGCACAAGAGCTGGCGGCGCTCGCCAGCAGGAAGGGTCATAAAAAGTGGAAAAGAGCGCCCATTTACAGAGCTGCCATGCAGCCCCACACCTCAAACAATATAATGGCCGCACGTCTACATCTTCCGATGACGGCATGGTTGTCTTGGAGCAACTTGCCATTAATGAGAATTGCGCTGCCTTTTGCTGGTTTGATTTAAACAAGAAAGGGTTGCCAACATGTGGACTTAAACAAGAAAGGGTTGCCAACATGCTCATTGAGCACACGGTGCATACTGTGTTAATCACATTTTTAGCGTTCGCAACGAGGAGCATTTTGGGATTCGTTATTTCGGTTCATCACTCTTGCCCCTGACAACACTGCTGTTTCAAACAGTTTTCCTGAAAGAAAAACAACGAATTTGCTGGCCTGTTACTATAATCTTTTTGGGCTACTTAGTTACCATTTTGTACCATTTTTTAAGAGCCCATGTATGGATTAGGTTACACACATTTGATGATCTGCCAGGCGACTAGCTCATTTTCTTTAATGCCAAAGGGCGGCTCAACGACCAGCTCAGTTTCAGTTGGCCAGGAAGTCTGAGACCAACTGGTGCGGCTTCACTCTTGGTGAGGCAGGTGAAGATTCAGTTCCATCCTGTGAGGCAGAACGGAGATTCTGAATGCAAAAGAACCTGTACATGTATGATCATGCAATGTGCAATGTTTACCCCATTGCATTCCAAGGTTCTTGAAAAGCCCTGTCGCAACTAGTAAATTTCGTGAAGTCCCTTTTTTTTGCCCACTATACGTTTATGGTCCAATTCTGTTAGCGGGGGGGTCAATATGCGTTTAAGGTGCATCAAAAAAAATGTGCGCTATACATGCATATTGGGGAATCTAATCACTTATGTCAGGACAACCCATTTACCAACATTTACCATGAATGAAGGGAACCATCGAGAAAAAAATAGTACATGTTGCGAGGTCCATTTTTTGTGTAACATTCGTGTTTTAATGTATTTGGGGTGGCAGGGACCTTAATTTCCCTTTTCAGTGGGAAATAAGATTTTGGCCGATTTCTGCCAGCTATACCAATCAACCATGTGATTTACTGGGTTTGAGGAAAAATACCAGCGGATTGTGTGAGGATATCATGCGACTGTTCTCAGGATATCCACATATATCAAGAGAAGGTTCTTGTGGTAGTCAGAATATCCTGAACGTACATCAGGACAGTTTCCAAGATTCTGTGGATGTACATGATAAAACTGCTTAAAGGAAAATGAACAACATGGCAACATGTTCAAAGGATAAGATGGGACATTTTGGAGGATGTCACTTTTGGAAACTGATGGAAATTTTGTTTTTGCGGATGCAATCACAGTTTCCGAAGGATAAAAAATCTCTGAGGATCAGAAATTTCTGAGAAATAATTCTCTGACGGTATCATCAAAAAACATCTAGGATGTTGTAGGATTCTAGGATATCAGCAGAACCTCTGGGGGATACATTCAGAAATTTCTGTGGGTCATCAGATTTATCTGAGGATATCATGAACCATTTCCGAGAAAATCAGAATTTACAGATGATCATCAGAACGTTTGAAGGATATCATGAGGATTTTATCAGGATATCATTTTCGCGACATGCATCAGGTAATTTTGAGCCGGGAAAAAGAGGCAAACACAACAAGTAGAACAGCGCGTGCTGTATGTATACAAAATAGCGGCATGTTTTGTGTTTGATTTTCCTTTGAGAATCAGATTTGTCAAGGATCATCATTCTGACAATCACTGGATATATCTGTTGATTCAATATCAAATAATAAATATAGCTTTGATGGTCAGGGAAAAAACAAACAAAACAAGTAAAACACTGAGTGTTGTCTGTACACAATAGGGCCCTGCTTCGTGCTTGACTTTGCTCTTGGAGAAACATTTTTTTGCAAGGATCGACGTTCTGACGAACACCGGATATATCCGATGATTACCCTGAGTCTCGAAATCTAGTGATTTTAGTAGCCCGTTGATTTAAAAAAAACAAATTTAGTAGTAAAATTTACTAGGACCTAGTAAAGTAAATTTTGCAATTTACTAGCCATAGTAAAAAAAATAGTAGCCAAGTAAGTAAATTTACTAGCCAAGTAAATAAGATTTACTAAGCAAGTAATTTTTTGGTGTGCTTGTTTTTGAAACAAAATGTGTAAAAAATCGATAGCTGGGAGCTAAAATTTTACTTGTGAGACTTTACGATAATTGTGAATTTTCAAAAACTAATTGTGACATATTGTGACATGTGAGGGTACCAGTGATGTTTTTCAGGTGCTTGCGAGACCCTTAGTAAA